AAAAAAAAAAAGGCTTTGATTTTGCCACCCCATTTTATTTCTTTGCCACCCTAAGAAAATTTCTCTAGATCCACCATGTGTAACACACACTCTCCATTTGAGGGTCATCAGCTGTTCCCTCCACTTTTCAGTCCACTTTAAACGCTTTTTTAGCTCCGAAGAGACGGCGCTGTTTCTGGAGCATGTTCATGCTTCTTCCGCTTTGTGTAACAGAGCTGATAGCACGGTGAAGTGTGTTCACAGGCTGTGGTCCTCATTTACCAAAAGTTCACACGCACAAATCTATGTGGAAATCGTGAGCATGACAATGACGATTCAGCGATATTTACATACTTGGGTTTTTTTCAATGCTGCTTCGATGCTGCTGCATCACTTTTAAAAAGGTCCAACAGCTTTATTGTGAGCAGAGCAGCTTTGAGCTGCGTGGGGAGTTTGAAATTCTTTAAAAGGGGCCCACCTTAAAGAACAGGAGGTCTCCATCAGGTTAAAACATGTTTTCATGTCTTTGCTTTTCATGGAAAAACATTCTATAGATTATTTTAAGCTTTCCTATGTGGATTTTTATGGTCACTCATAAGTCAGTCATCTTATAGATGGGATTTAAAATGTGTTTGTTTTGCTGGTGGGACAGAGTTTAGGATTTGCATGTACATATTGTTATATTATTATCCAGTGTATTTGTTGTTGTGTTTTGTTTCTCCTCTGGTTTAACTCTAAGGTTCTTCTACACACAGAAAATACCTCAATTGTGCAAACAGCCAGTCAGAGGACAGCTGAGATTAAAGTGACTGTGCAGTGTGCAGGTATGTGCATTAAAGTATTTCAGAATCATCACCATGACAATATTAATCTTAAAAATATACATTAAATATACATTAAACTGTTCACTGCTCTGCGGGTATGATGTATGTTTGATGCTCCAAGCAGCCCGGAAATCTTAGCAGGTTAAGTCAGAAATTAAAGATGCTTCCGCATCAGGTTAATACAAACCGCGCAGCCTGATTCTGTGTTCATTTTTTCCAAATAAAGGAATCGGATCGCATATGCTCAGACCAAAGCTGGTGATTCTCGGGGCTCTGGGGTGAAAATGGTCCATATGTTAATGTAAATTGCATTGATCTGCACAAAGTAGATGAGGAAGGCGGGAAGAGCACAGAAAATCCTGTTTATTTTTTTTTCAAATTCAAAGACCCTCTGTAGACCAAACACTTGGCATTTCGGCATTATCATACCTGTTGGATTGGACTGAGTAACACCTGGAAATAAAGGTGCTTCGATCTGCATTACATCTGAAAGCATTCATCCAGCTGATGTCAGGGCCTATCCTAAATAAAATCAGAGTAAAGGAATTAAAATTCCAATTTTTAAAAGGAGTTGAAAACCTTGTAAATGTAACTAAAACAGAATATGAAGAAAGAACCATTGGGGTCAGAGTTACTGTAGTTACTGTAATACCGGTTTCCACCACAGGGTGGAGCATTGAGTCAGTCTAACTTTCATCTAACAAGCTCACTCATTCAGTACATGTTTTGATTTTTGAAAGCGGCCTCTGAGGAAATGGATCAAAACATATGTCAAAATGCTCAATGCTGTAATGAGGGGTGGGTGATATATTGAATATACTCAATGTATCGCAAGTTTTTCCACATATGATGGTTAAAAATTACTTAATCGTAATCATCGGGTATAAATTGCCATGGAAATATTAGAGTGTCTGCATGTAACTCACTGTAAGTTTTTACATGCTGCAAATGCAACATTAATCCCCACTCCTAACTGGAAAACCAGTTGGAAAAAATACAGATAGGAAAAAATATGGCGACAGCGGGAGTTTCAGATGAGTGAGGGAATGAGAGTCGCTGTCATTTGGATTTCACAAGGACGATGCTGAATAAAATGCGGCAATTTGCAAAACATGCCATAAAAATATTGCCGCAAAAGGTAGAAGTACCACAAATTTATTCTACCAGCTGAAACGTCATACACAGCAAAATTAAGAACGTTTTAAACTCCACATGTCAGCGTCTCCCCACACACTAAAGAAAATGTTAAATAAACCAGCTGCAATTACCTATAAAGGTTCTTGGTCGCTCTCTAGACTTTTATTTCTGTAATTTGAGGTCATCACGTTTTCTATTTTACAGTTTTTATATGTTATAAGCACAAAAGAGCACCTTTTTCATCTCAATTGTTTTATTGTCTCGTGAATTTATTGCTTGATGTCCTTTTTTGTTTCTATGATCTTTTGCTTGTTAAAAGTCTATTGTTGACCACAGAAAGAGACATAAGGTATGTCCCAATTCATAGGCCGCATCCTTCAGAGGCCGCATTTGAAGGCCAATTACCTCACGGCCAGGCGACGAAGGTTGTCATAATTTGAAGGCTGCTCCAAATGCGGCCAACAACTGTGTCCTTCATTTCCCCAGATTTTAAGGATGGGTCAGGTCCTTTTTTCAGTGTTTTATTTGTTTCTGAGTAAATCGGTTTAGCTGAGATTAAAATTATAGTTTTCACACAGCTGAATAAACGTCAAACAGGAAATGGTTAAACAGAAATGTGAGATTGTTCAGAATTTACTCCAATGTCATGTTATATATTCGAGAGCAAGGAGCAGACGGCTGAGTTTATTAAACTCCACCGCGACAGCTGGTGACGCAAATCTGAAAGCTAGACCATCCCATTTAACAGCCTCGCACTTCTGGCTTACTTGGCTTTCAAAGGACCTGGCCCACATAGACCGCGAAGGCCAGGTCCTATTCGGCCTATGAATGAATGACATACCTATACTGTAATGTATAGTCACTTGTGAAAAACCTTTGACTGGTTAAAATAAAATATTTCAATTTATTCAGATTTTTTGTGTTAAAGTAAAAAAAATAATAATTTAATTGTCAATTTGAATGAGTATACCAGTGCAATTTTGGGCACTATATGAAAATAGCATTTGTTTTTGGAGGTTATTTAACATAGCATGATATATATTGTGTATCGTGATGTAGCCCCCCCAAAAAACGTGATATCAGATTTTCCTCATATTGCCTAGCCCTAGCTGCAATAACTCAGCCATCACTAGGTGCATCTCAGGTGTTCTGATCTGATTGATGCTGACAACTGTTGTTTTCCTCCTCAGATCCTCTGCAGTCTGTGACGCTGTACGACCCAAACGACCCCACAGACCAGGATCCCTCCGATCCAGAGGAGCACGATGGCAGCAACGTTTCCTGTCCATCATCACCTCCTTCGCCCTCGCCATCCTACCACCCACCCCTCTCTGAGAGCAGCGATGGAGACCCGGACAGTGACTGGATTGAACATAGGCGGACTCTCAGACCTCTGAGGAGGAAGAAGCGTAGCCATCCGGCGCTCAGTGTCACAAGCACCCGGAGGCGCTCAAGTCTAGCTCAGAGCTTCAGCTGCCACGTGTGTGACCGGGCACTGCAAGGGAAAGGCTTCCTACTCAAACACGTCCTGCACACCTGTGCCAGCAACCCAGACTTTCGCTGCGGTTACTGTGGGGAGTGCCTGGACTCTGCTGATGGCCTGAAGGCTCACCTGCAGATGCACCAGGACAAAAGCAAAACATGCTCCTTCTGCGGGAAAACCTTCCATTCCATCCTGGCGCAGGAAATGCATGTGCGGTTGCACACAGGAGAGAAACCGTACAGCTGCAACTTCTGCGGCAAGAAGTTCAGTCAGAAGGGCAACCTGACGTCACACCTGCGTGTCCACGCAGAAGAGAAAGCCTTCAAATGTAAAGAGTGCAGCCGTGCCTTTTGTCACATGAGCTCTTTGGAACGCCACATGGAGGAGCACAGCAGCTCAGCAGTGCACACCTGCAGTGTCTGCGGTGAGGAGTTCAGTAAACGGAACAGTCTGCGGCAACACATGGCAACTCATCAGAAGAACGACGGCCTCAGAATTAAGACGAACCGCACTTCAATACCGTCCTTCCGCTGCAAAGTTTGCAGTGACACCTTTGATAGGAAGACCCTGTTAGTGAAACACGTGGCAACTCACCTGCAAGACACGGACTGCCGCTGTGGACTCTGCGGACACCATTATGAGTCCTCTGACAGCCTTGCTGCCCACCTGCGCTCCCACCGCGAGGCTGGCGGCACCTGCAGCATCTGCGGGAAGTGCTTCCCGGGCCAATCGGCGCTGCAGATGCACCTGAGGATCCACACTGGGGAGAAACCCTACAGCTGCAGCTTCTGTGGGAAGGCTTTCAACCAGAGTGGCAACCTGAAGACACACCTGAAAATCCACACGGGTGAGCGGGCATTCTCCTGCAGCCTGTGTGGGAAAGGCTTCACCCAAAAACAGACCCTGGACACACATGTCCGCTTTCACAACAAGGAGCGCCGCTTCCTGTGCCAGGTATGCGGGAAGGGCTTCATGCAGGATGTGGACCTTAAGAGACATATGCTGATCCATACCGGGGAGAAACCATACACCTGTAGGGTCTGTGGGAAAAGTTTCCAGGCCAAACGCTCGCTTAATGGGCACCTTAAAGTGCATTTAGCTGGCCAGGAGGACTCGAGGCCAGAGCCGCAGAGGACAGCAGAGGACAGCTTCTACTCAGGATTCACGCAGTTGTAGTACCACAGCACCTCCCCATTATTCCTAATAACACAGAAAACTACAGGTGACAGGAAGTGTCTGACAAAATGGAATCTCTATAAAGTTGGTCATGTTTTCATAATGGTAGTTGTACCACTTTCACTGACTGTACTCCTTTCGTGTCCATCTGTCTCCCTCTCATTCACACACATGCATTCTGTTTTCCTCTTACTGGCTCCTCTTTTCTCCAGAGCATACCTCCACCTCTCCATGCTCTCCTCCACCTACTCACTACAGATCACGGCGTCATCTGTAAACATTGCAGTCCACAGACCTCATCTCTCAGTCGGTCCTTCACCACAGTAAACAAGAGGGGCTCAGAGCATACCTGATGTAATACCACCTCCACCTTGAACCGCCCTGTCACCCCTACCACTCAATTCACCAATGTCTCTGTCCTCATACATGTCCTGCACCACCATCATATACTTCTCTGCCACTCCTTACTTATCGCAGTTCCTCTCTGAACAGCTAATCATCTGATCCCTCTGACCCACAAAGACACAGTGAAGCTCCTTTTGACCTTCTTTAAACTTCCTCATCAACACTCTCAAGGCAAACATCACATTCACTAACTGTCATCCTTTCTCATTTTCTTCATTCATCATGTCCTCAATGTACTGCTTACATCACATCACACCCTCTTCACTTGTTATTACCTCAAAACAGCTTGGTCTCTATGTCTAGCCAGTCTCCTTCCTTGGTGTCCAGTCTCACATACAGGTCACAATAAGCTTTTTCTACCATTGCTGTCCACTGAGCCTGTGTACTTCTGTCTACTTTTTTTTCAATCATCGCACTTTTTCTTTGCTAACCTCTCCTGTAGTTCCTCATTCTTCCACTAAGTCTCCTTGTCCTCTTTCCTCTCACTACTCAGTTCTCTGTTAACTCTACCTGCCACCGAAAGCTTGTTTCACCTCCTCTGTGAACTCTGTACAACATTTATTTTTCTACAACTTCCACCATTTAATCTTTGCCTCTACCTTTGCTCAATTCCACTGCTTGTTTTTTCAAACTTTATTTTTTTTCTTTAGAAATACACAGTGCATCTTGCTCCTTTATACATGTGCATATATACACACATACTGTACACATACACCCACACCTACATACATATACACACACCTTCAAATACCTACATGCATACAAACTTTGCATATTGTTGTATGTGTCTACACAAGTGCCCATTCAGCACAAAATGGAGAAAAGTCCAGTTGAGCACTAAACAAGGTCCAAGAAATAAAGTTAAATGAAAAAGAGATTGAGATGGGAAAATCATTTTGTATGACCATATCTTTGAATTTCTTCTTTACAGAGTCTTAGAGAAAAGGTAAATGTTTTTCATTTCAAAAATATCTTTTACCTTTTTAATCGTCGTTTTCTCTCTCCAATCAGATTTAATAGCAGGACAGGTCCACAATATGTGATAGTGATCAGCCATGGTGTTGCCACATTGTCTCCAGCAGTTACTAGATTCAGGTTTGCTATTCTGAAGTGGTTTATTTTTAGGGTTAATGAAAAATCTAATGTTATTCTTCCAGGAATATTCCCTCCAAAGAGGGGACCTTGACGTGCTATTGTTTGTCTTCTTTCTCCCATTTGGTCTTAACATATTGGGTGTAGTGCTTCCTGAATGATTGTAAATATGAATACAGTTTAGAGATTAGCCTTTTATGTACTTTACCTTTCTAGGTGTTCACAAATATGTCAATGAGGCACCCACTCCCTTACAACATTATTATTTTTATTAAAGTGGTGTCTCAATTATCTATAAAAAGCAGTTTTATTTAACCTGTAAGTTTCACTGAGTGGTAAGAATCTGCCCATATCTGTTTTGGCTGAGATTTTACAGTATGCTGTAATACCCTTCCAAGTCCTTTCTCTAAACACCACATTCCAAATGTGCTAGTGTAAAGTCTGTATCATATCCTGCCCATCTTAGTATTCACACTTTCCTTTCTAAATTATTAGTTTTTACCTTCTTTAATCCCTATATTTAAAGCTACTTTAGTGTACACGTGTTTTTCCTGTAGGCTTATATCACCCAATAAAGACTGTAAAACCTGTCTAATTGGGTAAGTTCAAAATCTTTTCATTTTGCTTCGTATCTAGTATCACAAAGTCTAACCAAGTACTGAAGCTGTAATCGTAATTGTCCTCCAGGTTAGGTAAAGACAATGTACCTTGGTCTTTTGGTAACTGTAGAGTCTCAAGTTGTACTCTGGGTTTTTATCTTGCCAAATAAGTTGTGAGATCATTCTTTTCCACTCATTGAGTTGTTTCGGGGGAATTTCAATTGGCAGGGACTGAAAAAGAAACAACACACGGGGTAAAATTGTGGAGTACAAAATGGTCACAATTTCTATTCTGCCATACAGACAAACTGTCAAAGGTGCCCATCTTCCTGAGTCCACTTTTATATTTTGTGTGATAGCGTTATAATTTAAGTTATAAATTTCTGTCAAATCCTTTGTTAAGGTGACTCCAAGATACGTCAGTTTGTTAGTATTCCATTTGAAATTATGCATTTTACGTATGTTTTCTTTTGGTACATAGATGTAAGTTAGAGTTTGGGTTTGTAGTATATTTAATTTGCAACCTGAGTATTGGCTAAATTGTTTAAGACGAGTCATCAATTTAGGGAGGCTAGAGTCCGGATTGGACAAGGTCAAAAGTACATCATCTGCATATAAGCATATTTTATACTCCACTCCTCGATTTCCTTGTCTTCTCTAATCTATTGAACCAGGGCTCTATAAAGAGTACAGACAAAGTAAAGCTTAGGGGACACCCCTGAAGACATCCTCTCTCAAGCGTAATAGTCCTAGACAGATTTCCATAAATTTTTATCTGGGCAGTTGGACGACTGTACAGCAATTTCAAACAACCTATGATCTGTTCTTTGAATTCAAATTGTTTTAGTACTAAGAGATTCAGGATTTTGATTTTTTTGATACGTTTGAGGAGTCCAAGGTAGGGTGTAATTGTACATTTCAGTCTCCACCACATATCAGAACACCTGATGTCACTGTAGCAACTAAATCAAACATGGTCCTTAATAATGATTTGTGTTGTCCAGGAGGTCTGTAGATGTTAAGTAGCATCACTACTATAGAGTCTAGAATTCCTTTTACCAAAATATACAGTCCTTCCTCAGCTGGAAGGAATTTGTTTTAAAATTGGAATTGCAACTCCCCTATTGGGTCCCTTTGTGTTTGATAAATAAAATATGTATTTAAATCTGGGGTGTTTAGGTTTTTGTGCCCTTTTTTGGTAAAGCGGGTCTCCTGCCAAAGAATTATATGATGGGTTTCCTCTTTCATTCCAGCAATAAGTTTACATCTTTTAACTGGGTTTTGTAACTCATTGACATTAAGTATTAGTAAACTATACTGCTGAAAGGACATGCCTTGTATAAGAAACAGCATTTACATTGTAAGCCTTGGGTGACAAAAAACACAACACACATCTGACAAAACTTGGAACTTTAACTGAAACAGAACAAATGAGAGAATGGTGGTTTCTACTCAAAATCAGAATTTCCCAAAAATCTTTTGGAGAGGAAAGCTCTTGCATTACGAGGGGCCTCTCCTCGGTAAGGTTATGAATAATCAAAGTATTACAAAATAGTTAGCAGTCAAAATAAACAGGAAAACAAGCTCCCAGAACAGTGGCTTATTCTCCAAGCTCTCTAAGGCAGACATTTGTAACTTCCAGTATAAAATTAAACTGAAATGGTTACACTAAATTATATTTAGTGTTGTTAAACTAAAGTGTCAAGCCTTACCCAGGGAAAGTCAAATCGACAGAGAAACTGAATTTCTCTGGATTCTGTGGATTGGGTCTCTTCTCCTGTGAAGCTCCCAGAACCTTCCTCCTCTTCAGATTCTCTGTGGCCTCTGCTGGCTGTAATAAGTTACGGTGCCATCGCTGAAGAAGACACAGAGCAAATTTCTTTTTCTTTAAGGACTTTCCTGTTGGGTGTGTAAGCCCTTCTTTTCCATTCATTTTTCCAAGCAGACTGGAGCACCAGTTCTCTTAATTCTGTGTTCTAGAAAGTAAGTTACTATTGACCGGGGGCTGGCATTCGGTGGTGGCTTCGGCCGAGAGCTCTGTGACTTCTTTGCATTCACAGCTCCGTATCACTTAGGGACAACTCCAATTTAATAAACGTTTCTAAAAAAGTCCCATAGTTTGTCCCTTACAGTGTCTTCAGGAATTCCATATACACAAATGTTGTAGCTATATTTTTCCAAATTTGTGTTTTCACCTTCTTTTTTTTCCCCCTTTTTCCTCCATGAAATCTGTAACAGTCAGTTTAAAGATTAGTTGATTCAAATAAAATGTCAGATATCTTCCATTTGAATCTTCTCAGCTCTGAGCATCGGTGTGTGAACCAGGAAGAGAAGTTAATGAGGATACATGTATTACACTGCTTTATTTCAACTATGGAGATTTTTTTTTTTCTTGTCATAAATCAAGCACTCCTCCTCCTTTAAGTGACATGTATTTTCCCTCAAGGTGCCACAATTGGTTTTTGCTTCAGCAGCTGGTGGAGAGTCCGCTGACATTAGTGTGAAGGTTGTCTGTGTCTCTGTGTTAGCCTTGCGTCAGCCTGGTTACCTGTTCAGGTGTGCCCTTCTTCTCACCCCATGGCAGCTGGGATAGGCTCCAGCCTGTATGTTTTTATACAACCTTATTTCCAAAAAGTCCTGTAAATGAAATTTAGGGATATGTGAAACACTGAAAGCTGAAAAGATCCATTTATGCGTATGATATTAACCTCCCAGGACCTGGCATCCACATATGTGGACATCACATTTTGGGTTATTTAGACCAAAATACTCAATTTTGCTCTACAAGCGCCTGATATCCACTTACGAGGACATTATACTGCTACTGTTCTATTGAAATTTTAAATCAATATCCTCATATGTGGCTCTCATTTTTCTTAGTAACAAAAATTAGGTAAAAAAAAAATCTGGTAATTCTTTGTTTTTACATTCACCGGGTCCCAATCAGCCCAAATATCAAAGAGAAATTAAAAATGCATGCCATGGAAGAGTTCGGGTCTTAGGAGGTTAATGGTTTCTATTTTTAAAGGTCGACTCATTGTGATTTAAAAAATAGAACAGGGAGTATGTAAACAGAGTGCTGGTGGTAACATTGATTTGACATTTGACATTGACTCTGTTGCATCAGTAAAATCTTTGCAGCACGTTCATGCCTCCAGCAGGTCAGGAGAGTCTGAAGGGAACCCAGTGCTGTCGCTCTGAAGTCATTTGAAGAAGGAAAAACATGATGTTTGAAGAACACCACAGGTGACCTGAGTTTGTTCAAACTGATCCACAGTCTTTGTGGCTTCAAGTTTTTTTTTTTTAGCTGATTTGAAAAAAAAAAAAATTTATGTTGGCGTGATGAGTAATCAGAAGGATTTAATATGTTTCGAGACTTTTATTGTGAAATAAATGTGTGTGAAGAGTCAGTGTATAATGCTGACCTTTCTTCTGTGGATTGGTTCTGGTTGAGGTTTGCAAAGAGGAGGCCTGGCCTCGGTCAGCAAACTGTTTACAGGCCACTGAGAGAGCATGTGCAGCTTCCCTCTGTGAGCAGGTGACGCTTGACTCTTCAGTCTGATAAAAAGGAGAGAGACTGAAAACCAAGCAGCTCAAAGCTGAAACTAAGTGTC